TTCAGATAAATGCTTAATAGCGCTATCGTTATTTAGAGCCTGTAACACTTCAAATTATGAAGAAATATGGGAAATGGGAAATTACAGTCTTAGTGATACCAGCTTCTTCTGTGGAACTAGTACCTCACCATCATGTAGGATCCACTTAAAAAGCAATGAAGAATAAAAAAGGCGATTATTTTGTTTAAAGACAACAATATTAAGTTCGAGAAATCTGTTTTCAGAGAGGGCCCAGTCCTTTATGACCTTGGATAAATTGCATAATCTCCTTTCCTTGTGTCCAAATCCTATATCTTAACAGTAACACACATCACTGTCACAGAAATGAATTCATCAATATGTGCTGTGATTCCTTGCTACACTAAAGAAGATAAATAGGCAGTTTCTTCTTGTCATCAAAATGTTATTGCTCCATAACTGAGAAGTTTCTTACCTTGCTGCTGTGCCGCTTTTTGCTCACTGAGGGAGAACCAGGCTGACCAGGGCTGGGAACAGCACTGGAGGTAGCAGAAGTGGTTCCAGAGTGAACATGAGATCCCTTTTCCACTCCTGAGGAAGCAACCAGAGGCGACTGCTGTAGAGAAACCTTTTGGAGCTCTGCAGCCAGCTGCTTGGGATCAACCCCCGGAGACTTTGCTTTATCTACTGGAGGAAAGAGAGTTTTGTATTGATCATTGCTAGCACATACAAATCCATCTTGTCATGGTATAGGGACAGGATAATGATCTTTACAAATTTTTGTGTCACCTGCTTGTGATCACTTTGAAGACGCAAAATACAACCTACAAAAAAATAGATGTCTCCCCCACAACATCAACATCTCAATTCCAATCTTTCTACTCAACACACTGTCAACTAGTGTTACTCACCTCACAAGTTTTCTGAGAAGGTTATTCTCTAGCTGAAAAAAATACGCCTTGCCGATCATGCTGAATCATACTGGAGCAAATTGCAGTTTTAAAGACTGGCCTGTGCTAACTTGCACTGTTTGGAACTGGTCCAGTTTCACCAAGTATCTAAGCTTTGTTGTAACCAGCTTTAATCTCAATTTTATTTTTTTTTTTCATCAACTGGGCATTCAATGGAACTTGAATTCTGCTCCTGAGATAATTTATACAAAAATAAAGAGAAAAGGAGCTCAAAACTTTAGTACTGCAAATTAATCAAAGCAGAATGAAATGAAAAGAAAGAAATGAAATGAAAAGCCCTGATTCATCTTTCCTTATTACACATACCTATGTGAGGCATCTGTGGTGGGAGTCTGGTCACCCACCCTGCTGCCCAGGAATGAGTGGGAAGAATTTATCCTTTATAGATGGCAGTCTCCATTTAATAGAGAAATGAGGTCAATAAGTTTCATATGTGCCTAAAAGTGCATAAAGAGGATACTTGGCTCAGCTTGCCTCCCAGGCTCTCAGAATTTTGAGAGGTTTAAGGCAGTACATTAGCCTTATCCTGCCTGCTAGGCTGTATTTGTGTTTTCTTTCTAGACAGAGTGGAGATTATTCCTCTCCAAAGCACAAACAGTCTGCAAAACCTCAGAGGTGATGGCAAGAAAGCAAAAGGAAGACCAGGGAAAATGTGGGTCCCTGCTGAATGAGGTGGGTGCCCTTGGTGACCGAGGATATGGAGAAGGCAGAGTTCTTCTTTGCCTCAGTTTTTACTGCTAAGGCAAGTCCTCAAGAATCCCAGGTACTAAAGGTAAGGGAGGAAGTCTGGAGGAAGGAAGACTGCCCCTTGCTTGAGGAGGATTAGGTTAGGGATATCTCAGCCGTACTGGACACTTACAAATCCATGGGCCCCTATGGGATGCACCCATGAGTGCTGAAGGAGCTGGCAGATGCTATTCCTAAGCTGTTCTCCATCATCTTTGACAGGTCATGGAGGACAGGAGAGGTGCCTGAGGACTGGAGGAAAGCCAATATCACACCAGTCTTCAATGAGGGCAAGAAGGAGGATCCAGGAAACTACAGGCCAGTCAGCCTCACCTCTGTCCCTGGAAAGGCGATGGAACAGCTCATTCTGGCTGTTATCTGTAAGCATGTGGAGGAAAAGAAGATTATCAGGAGTAGTCAGCATGGATTCATCAAGGGGAAAGCATGCCTGACCAATCTGATATCCTTCTATGATGGCATGACTGGGTGGGTGGATGAGGGGAGAGTGGCGGATGTTGCCGACCTTGACTTTAGCAAAACTTTTGACCCTGTCTCCCATCACCTCCTCATAGTTAAGCTCAGGAAGTGTGGGATAGATGAGTGGACAGTGATGTGGGTTGAGAACTGGCTGAAGGACAGAGCTCAGAGGGTTGTGATCAGTGGTTCTGAGTCCACTTGGAGGCCTGTGACCAGTGGTGTTCCCCAGGGGTCAGTACTGGGTCCTGTTTTATTCAATATATTCAACAACGACCTGGATGAAGGGACAGAGTGCACCCTCAGCAAGTTTGCTGACGACACAGACCTGGGAGGAGTGCCTGACACGCCAGAACGCTGTGCTGCCATTCAGCGAGAC